ATGGGCATAGCTTCCGTGGAACACTTGGTGTGTTTGAAGTGAATGATGTCATAATCCTAATGGCTCAGATACACAAACTGCTATCCCAGTGAGTTGGAAGGGGAGAGATGTGGTCCCAGTGTTAACTAAGAACACAAAGTGGGAAGGAATCGTTAATTTATGTGGTTATCCTGAGGTTCCTGAGAACATAAGCATTTATGTCATGTGAATATGGAGAGAGGAAATCATGAGATCATTTTCTGTGAAGAAGTCAAATTTCATGGAGTAAATTTTAGAGTTTAGTATGGTGGTCTAAATGAGCTTTAATGAGCTGATTTATAACTTATTTTTAAGCAATTGAAGTAATATGAAAGAAAATGAGTAATATTGAAAGATCTCTAGAGTATTGTGGGTTAAGGGCTAGAAACTGAAAGAAATTAAAGGTTCTTTGTTCTCTATTTCTTAACCAAAAATACTGCTTTGCCACCAACAGGACTGATTGATTCGACTCTGAAGAGACTAGTTCTGCAGAATGCTCCTATAGAATATGTTGAAGTACTGATCAGTTCATAACACACATGTAGTAATGAATGCTGGAAACACGCTACACAACACTGCATGCAATATACAACATATGCAACGTAGCTTTCAAGGCTCGTATTGATGCTTTGCATGTTTCATAAAAAACCCTCGTGTTTTTATGAGTGGAAACCTAAGCGAGATTGCGTTTGTGCAGGCACGGCTTGTGTGCACAAATGCATTCTGCTGTGTGCGAAAGGAATCCTGCCGTTACGTTACATGTGAGCTGCGTTTGAGAATTACCTAGGGCACTCTGTTCTTCAGAACTGGACTGTCTGAAATCACAGAATCACAGAATCACAGAACGTTAGGGATTGGAAGGGACCTCAAAAGATCATCCAGTCCTGTGAGCTGTGTTTGAGAATTACCTAGGGCTCTCTGTTCTTCAGAACTGGACTGTCTGAAAGATTGCATAAAAATACTTTCATAGCTGCTTCATCCCTTTTCATGTATTTCATTCTGCTTAGTACTGGTTTCTTTTACAGACAGTTACGCTGTTGTCCTGGACGTGAGGCTGACTCAGAATTTGTGTGCACTAATCAACTATATTTAACAGGAATTCTGTAGAGGTTGGGGGAGCAGAAGAGGTGTGTATAATTGCAGCCAGCATAGGTCAGTGTGTAAGAATTTGTATCGGTTCTGAGAGTAAGTATTTAGTGTTCTCCGATTGTGACTGCTGCCTAACCTCTCAGAGATCAAGTCAACACGAAAACTTCCCATTAGCAACAAATTACATCCTCTTCAGAAATTGGAAGAACTGCGGAGTTGAGGAAGGTGTCTTTAGAGTGCCTGAAGGGACCTAAAGAATGAAGGAATCTGTGAACGAGGTTTGTGTTGGAATATTACAGAGTAACACTGAGCTACTAAAAAAAGACTTGCTAAATCATTATGGACTAATGAGGTTACTGACTGCTGTTTCAGAGGAGAAGAGAATTGAGAGGAATAGTTCTAGACCTATTTTGAAGAGAGTTACTGTGCCGTGATGAATGAGTGCGAAGTGTTAGACCTTTAAACATAACTGGGAGTAAATGAAGTGTCATGTCCTTGCATGGAGAAGGGTATGTGTGTGTGTGTGCAGTGTGCAAGTGATATGGCCCAGCCACTCACCTCGCTGTCTGTATGTCTGAGACTTCACTAGTGGAGGGTAGATAAAACTAAAATGTTAATGTCAGTTGTTGGTCACACTTGCTCAAAGGCCCTCCTCATTGCCAGCTAGAGACAGGTTCTGTGAGGGTTAAATTCCTGTTTGTTTGGTTTTGTTTGGGATTGTTTATTGGTTGATTTTTTTAAAAAAAAAAAGAAAAGAATACCTTCATGTCAGGTTTAGAACAGCTTGAAGGAACGTATTCATTTAAGCTTAAATCCTGTGTGAGTATTTGTGTTCGTGGTGTTTTTGTGTGCTTTCTGTGAAGCATGTGCACAGTGGAATGCAGAAAACTGCTTTTGGTTATACCCTTTCAGAAGAAGTGAAGTGTGGCCTTGAGAAGGTCTTGAGAAGGTTCCTATTGCATGAACCCAAATAGTTAAAAGCATTTCTAACGGCTGTGCTGCACCGAGGGCAGGAAGTTCACAGCGTGAAGGAACAGGTTGGCTGTAAGGGCGTGCTGATGCTGGAGAGAAGGGTGGCGGCAAAAAACGTGAGGACGAGATGAAACTCTCTGACGTGTTGCCCATTGTGAAATGGGAGTAGCAGGCATCTTGATGTGGACTGGTATTTCATTCTTTCACTGTGAACTTTTGAAACTGGCAAATCAAACTTGTCCGTAGCAGCCGAACAACTTTTCCAGCAGTGGAAAATAACGTTCTTCCTTCCAAAGCTGTTTTTTTGAGTGTGACCACTGGTAATCCTTTGTTTTGCTCTTCTGCAGGAGACAGCTGGATGCAAAGCCTTCATGGTTTATCCAACCTGAGCTTTCAGTATGCTAGACAAGGTTTCTAAATAGAAAGTGGCTGCTAAAGCCAGCCTGTGCTTTAGTTGTGGTGTAGTTTGTGCGTTCTCCGCAGCGAGGTTTAGGCTTTGGAAGACTTGTGAGTTTCAGCATGCCTGAAGAAGTCATGCCTTCTGACAAGGAATGGTTGACTGTAATCTATTCAATGCAGTCATTTCCTGTGCCCCTAATTTGTTATGCTAAATGGTTGTCTGTGATGGTTTTGTTTCACTGTATGATAGTGCATTACTTGTGTAGTCTGCTTTCTCTTGACTAAAATGCCTGTTTGGGTATTCCTGTTTATAACAGCTACTCTTATGAAACACTTCACATTCGTGCTTGTTCTGTTGACTAGAGAAGAGCTTCTCTTTATTGGCACAGAATGACTCTTCTGACTAGATGGAAAAGCTGCAGATCTTCCTCATCTTTATCCCCGGTTATTCACCTTGTAAGCCAGAGCAGGAGAGAGGAACATCCTTTCCAAGGAAGGAGGCATACATACAGCCACTAAGTGCCTGGCTTCTACTTCAGCACTTGAAACTGCTTTTGCAAACAGGATTTATATGTAGGTCCCACTGAGAATGCAGGCTGCACAGATTGCCTTTACTATCAGAATGCTGTATTGCATAGAGTATTCAAAAGGCAGGAGAAAGAAGAAAGCAAGGTGGATTGGCTTTATTCTAAACATAGAAAGTTTTTTGCATTGTCAGTGCGTCATATTCTTGTGGTGAAAATTATCCCACTGCAAATCTGCAAAGCAGTCAGGATTTCTTTCTGGCATTGGCTGACGAATTTTTCTGTGTGCTTTTTCTGTTTGTCCTTTATGTGGCCTTTAGATATGAATCTATTTCGAAAGCGAAGATCTGGTTGTTTCCTAGAAGTAGATAAAACTACTGGCACAGATAAAAAAGATACATCTAGGAAAATCTTGGTCTTTGTTCCTGTATCCTTAATAGCTACAAATTTGGTTTTCTTCCCCCCTGCTTCAACCTACAGTTGCGTAGCCAAAGTAATAAGAGGATCTGTGTCTTGATGTCTACCAAATGAGAACTTCATTAAAGTGACGTAGATGAGCTGGATTTTGCTGACTTAGTGGTTCCTTCCCGGCATGTCTTATTTAATTTTTAAAATCTGTCTTAATTCTTTTATTACTTACATTATTGGAATTTTTAAAGGTTTTGTTCTGTAAGCAGACAGAACAGGACATGTCAATATTTGTCTGTGACTGCATCCTGCGAGAACATGACTGGTTAGTCCTGTTGAGACTTTTTTTTAAGATGAGCTCAGAATGTTGTAATGAAATTCATACACCGAGTTAAAAAGCTTTGTGATTTCAGTGAAAACATCATGTGAACAAACAATGCATGAAAATAGCTAAGCAGATAGCAATTAAAACACTGACAATAACTTTCAGTCATGAGGTATTGTCGGTGCAGTTTTCAGATGTGCAGAGGGAAAAGCTCTCAATTGTTCTTAAGTCGGCTGGTAACTGAATCCACATTTGTAGAGCTTGACAACAAAAGGCTTTTTGTTCACAGTTTGTATTCATCTGGGACGTGCCAATTACTGAGCATAAATAGAACATAGTGTTGTATGAGCAGGCCAATATAACATGTTGCTCAATTCGTGACTTACCAGAAATCCATAATTTATATTAAAATAGTTAGAATTACAGGTAGAAACTACTCATCAGGGAATTTTAGGTTTCTGCATGAATGAGCACGATGTAATTACTTTGAGGAAGCACACATTGCTGTATTTGATGTGGCAGCAAGATGTTCAATCTGGGCAAAACTCTTTCTGAATATTACTTGCAATCATTCCATTAATTTAGGGAGGCCAATACTAACTGGGGCAGAGCTGGTGGGTGCCTGATAAAAGAAGCAACAAGACCTTTTAGTCTTACTATTTGCAAACAAAGCATCCTACAGAAAGTTGTCCTTATGCTTACCCCAAAATCTGTTCAATTGCACCAAGCTCTGCTGTCACCGTAGTTGTATTACCAGATGTGATTTGCAAGTCAAGTAAGCATGACTGCCTTTCTCTGCTGGGCCGTTCAGCAACGTGCATCTTCGTATTATTGGTGTGATACTTGTACCTGCCACGCTCTTTACGAGAATAAGCATGCTTTCTGTGGGATAATGTTTTAAATTGTGTTAACTGTGCAAGTCATGTTCTTGATTGAAGCAGATGTGTCCAAAGACAAAAGTGTAATGGTTCCCAATCTGTATGAAATGCATTGAGGCGATGGCTCTGACTTGATAAACGAACACATCCTTTTAAGTTGTTGGCTTGGGATTTTTTTGTGGAGTATGGAAGAGAAGCTTTGAGGCTTTTCTTCTCTGTTTGGGAAGTATGCAACTGTCTTGCTAGTGGAGAGGTATGCATGGGGGGAAAGCACTGATAAAGGACAAAGAGCCCATTTTAAGTTCTTCATCAGTGTGGGGTTTTTACGTTGGTCACTGGTTTAGACTACTGGTGTATTAAGACTGTTCCTTTTCTGCCCTTTTCCAGGTAGTGGTGCTACTGCAGTTGTCCAGGCAGCGCTATGCAAACCCAGGCAAGAACGTGTAGCAATAAAGAGGATCAACTTAGAAAAATGCCAAACCAGTATGGATGAATTACTTGTAAGTAAATCAGAGGGGAATACATTACACACAGACTATCTTCTGGTGTGATTTTGGGTTTTGGTCTTGGTTCAAGAGTGAGGGTAGAATTTTATGCAGGATAATAGTGCAAAAATGATTTGAAATGAATCTTAAGTATGCTCTTCCCCTAAAAATATAGTTTACTAATGTATATTTTCCAATGCTGCAAAACAAGAAGTAAAAATTTGAATTTTGGGATAACCAACTGTTGAAAACTGTGGGAAGAACCTTACCCCTTGTTTTCTGGAGACTCAGTATTCAAGAGATTACTGTCTGGTTGTCGTGTCTTTTCTTAATGCTGAGGAAAGATGCATTTTCCTTTGGTTAAGCACTGATTGAAAATACAAAGGTAAAATTCTGTAGGTCTCCCTAACACGTCTAAAGCACCAAAACATGGCAAAAACTAGTTGTTGGATCATTTTGTAATAACTTTTAAGGGGAAGAGTTGAAATGGCTACACTGCCATACACAAGGAAACTCTTGTTAAAGCTAATAACACACATCTATCTGATAGGCCACAACAAGCCATTTGAGGAATGCTGTTTATTTGGGTCACTGATCAGAGGAGGAAGGGACCTGTGAGAGGCCCTTTGTAAAAGTGGCTGCAAGAGTTTTTCCTCTGCACTGGTTTCGGCAATCCAGACAAAGTCACAAAGAACTTAAGAAAGGAAACCTGTTGCTTTCTAATGCTCCTGGTCAGGTGCTTAGAAGACTAATGTGCATATATAGGCAGCATAACAAGAGTTGAAGGACACAAAACCATTCTAAAAGTGAGAACGCTCTCTTCTGTTCCACAGGTTATACTACTGCCTAGAGACTGTGGGCTTTTTCTAATGCAGAAATTCCTGCCTCTGAAGGAAATGATGTCCTCAGCAGGGAATTGCCAGTGCAAAAGATATCTTGAATTTGATACGGAGGGTATGGTCCATCCAGTTTCTTCAGATAAAGTGGCTTGTTTACAGTGGAGGACCCAAAATGCTCTTCCCCTGGTGATTGATGGCATTCACCTTCAGTTTATGTAACAGCTTGTATGGGATGTTGTTGTGCTTTTTAAAGAGAATTGTGGTAGTGGAAGCTACCTCTGAGGTAGTGAAACTTCTGTCGACTAAAAACTCAAAAGATAAATTCTGAACGGTGTTTAAAAAGAGGTCAGCCCAAGGTGAGATGCTGTACATGATGTATTAACATCTACAGCCCATAAAGAACGTTTCTATAAAACCAGAAATACTAATAATTGTAATATAAAATGGTCAAAATTTGATACTTTTTGTTAGAATTTGATCTGATAATTGGAATTAAGAATTAAAAAGTTACAGCAAATAAGACCAGACAAAACTGCCAAATATCTGCAAGAGATATCCAGGTGGTCTGGAGAAATGACTGCAGTTACCATCTTGCACAAAGTTACCTTAGCAAGTGCTTGAGTGTCTTCACTGCTGATGTGTCTGCACTGTCTGCCAAATGAGACAATAGGTCTTGAACTTTTGGTCCCACATTGCTTTCTTTCAGTATGAAGACAACTGTCCATACCATCATCTTTCTTACGTGTTTCTTTTATTTGTTGATCTCTTTTCAGCTGAACATAAATGTGGGCTTTTCAAGTTCCTGTCTGGAGGGGTGTGGGGGGAAGACCACATGTGATTAATTTTATTTTTATAAGTGCATGCACATATGTAATTTTTTTTTTCTGCGAGGGGAAGTATACTTGCTGCAACTCGGCTCTAGTACAGAGATTTAAATTTTTGTTTAAAATATAGAGATGTTCTTCTGGAAAAGGGCTTCATTGACCTTCAAAACTCTTCTTACAACTGTATTAACATTTTTATTTCAGTTGACAATATTTAGAATGCTCTTTTGTTTTTTCAACACTGATTTTGAGTCTGCTCAGTTTTCCACCACTTATTTTCCTGATCAAACAGTTTCCATTGGCACAGAGATATTCTAAAACTCTGTCTGCCCTCTGAACATGCCGTTTTGTAAGATCCTGCTGCTGAGTGCTTATGGATGGTGTATAAAGCACCCTTCACAAATTCTGATCTGCGCAGCCTTCAGAGAAGTGGAAAATGCAGCAAGCCTGGTGCCCACGTAAGCAGACTTAGGATTTGGACCAGTGTCAGTTAAAATGGAAAGGCAGCGGGGGAGGGAGTTTAAATAATACTAAGGTTACACAAACTGCCAAACTCCTGAAATTCAATACTCTGTTTCCTGCAGTGTTCTGTGTTCTCACTATTGTAAGCTAAATGTAACTTAACCCCATGAGCCAAGGAAGAAGTTCCTGTCCTTAGTATTGTCCTGAGTGCGTATCTTCTCCCATCCGCTTAACTCCAGTTTTTTAACACAAGCAAAAAAATCACCAAGCCACAGAATATTCTGTAGAATGGCTTATGTGAGCGAATGGATTGTCTAATCTGTTTGCATGTCTGCTCTTGGAGGCCAGCTCTCTAGAGGAGCCCCTCCAGCAGCTGTACCCGGGTGACCGTGGAGGAGGCCCTGGGGAAGGGCCTGCAGACCAGCACCTGCCTCTGCCCTGCGAGCCAGGCTCGGCCCTGTGGGCGCTGCTGCTGAGCACCGAAAGGAGCTGTCTCGCAGTTGCTTATTAACTGCATCAGCCACCTGCCCTTAGGCCAGCACACATTTTTGTGCAGCTGCTCAGTGAAACTGGATCAGGAATAACCTGGCTGAAAAGAAGTTTAGCTTTTAACTTGGACATATTTCCTGGGGCGGTGTGCAAGCACTTGTGCTAGTGCAAGGGAGGGAGAACAGAGGGATGGAGTAGAGGCTTTAAATTTTAAGTGCTGTTACAGCTTTGGTGCTGTCGAATGTCTAAAGTCGCATGAATGTGAAGAAGGCTCCGGGGTGTTCTCCTGGACATCCTGCTGCAAGCTTTTTCTCTGACAGTGTATTTTAAGTGAATGCTTTTCTTTGTCACCTGTGCATATTGTGGGCCTCGGCCAAATAGCTGTTTGTGGAGGCTTACCGTTCTGTGCGTGACAGGAGCTCTCCAGAGCTGCAGGTCTCTCATGAGGTGCTTTCTGTTTGTTTATTTTTGTTTTGCAAAGGCCGTCTTTGTTAAAAGGCACCAAAGCTGAGACACAAAGTGCCTTTGGCCATGGTTACTTTGATAGCTCAGTTTTTGCCAGCGAGTAAAGATAGTGAAGTTTACTGCAGTCGGTTACATTTCTGCACTATTTATGTGTGAGTAAAATAGATGAGGTTTATTTTTGCCCAGTAGTGGCAGGTAGACTTTTTAAGCAATTATTAGATTACCAGCATAGGGAAACAATAAAACGATATAAGAAATGAAATAGTATTAAGAGTGAGAGAGTTGAATTAGAACCTGAGGCAGTAATCTAACTTGTGTTTAAGCTGACATGTCTTTTGGGAAAGGGAAATATGCCCCATATATCTTCCTCCTGTTTTCTACCTACTGTCTCCTCGGGAGGGGGGGAAAAAGTGCTATTATGCAAATTACTCAGTTATTCAGGCTCATTGCATGACTATCTGTAGTTCAGGGCTCAGAAGCTGCGTAGGAAGGAGGACTTTTGGCAACAGGACTAGCTGAAATGTATGTCAAACTATGGCCTGACTTAGTATGTCACCAACAGGCATTGCAAGATGATATGTCTTTAATACGTATAATTATTTTTTATTAGAAAATGGCTGTGATCTTGCAAATAACAACAAAACCCCCCTCTTTCAAACACTTGCTGAATTGGGGTTGAAAGTTTGAAAATGACTTCTGTGGCAGCTGGACTCCCTCTACGCAGGGCTGCCATAGTGCCTGCCTTGTGTCAGGGCCAGTGAGTCGGTGTGTGGCTTGGGCCCACCTGAAAGCAGTTGCTTTTGAGGGACGGAGGGGAAGTGGAAAAGTTTTGGTTTTAGCTGGATTGACACCCTGACTGGTGCACCCTCCAGGACCATATCCTCTAGCACCAGGGATGGATCAGGGCTGTGTGACTGGAGGTGCAGAGGGAGACGTAGGGTTATAGGAGCTTAAGTGGGTGTGAGGCCAAACCCTCTGCTACAGAGGCCTAAGCACTCCCGTGTGAAGGATTGGCAGGATAATGAGAGCTGCCAGAGAGGTGTTAAAGAACAGTTATGTGCATGAATGAATAGAAAAAGGACTCTGTTTGAAAAAACAGGCAGTCGTTCTTAATATGTACAGCTGTGGCGCGTCGTAGACGGTGTTGCTTGATGGTGCCATAATGTGCATCTATCCTTCGGTGACTGCGTGCTCCTCTGGTCAATTGTTTCCGCTTACTTTTGGTCTGTAACAGTGGTTTTTCCTCTTGCACTTCTGTTTGATGACGTGGCTCTGGTGCCCACCTGTCCATCCCACGGTAGCTGAGCCAGCAGTGCTGCGTCCTTTGTCCAGCAGCTTCCTGCCTCCTTTCACAGCTGCCCCTGTTCTACACTTTTCACATGCCTTTTGAACAGGAAAGGCAGTAGGTTTTGATCTTTCCTTGTGTTTTGTTGTCCAGCCTCTACACACACCTTCAGCTCGTGGAGACTGCTCATTCTTCATTGCTCACTCTGAATTTAGGACTCGAACAGTAATTTCTTTGCTGCTTTTGGAAGAAAATTGCTGTAGTTATGCCTGTATCTCCTAGCCAAACCTCCTTCATGTTCTTTGCAATACTGTTTTGTCTTGCATGTAGATCTATAGGTAAATTGAAATGTTTTGGTACCTCGATAGCATATTCTGTGCATACTTCAGTTCTGTTATAGTATTTCACTTTGGAAATTAAACTTTCTCTCTATACTTCCAGAGCTGATGGCTGGCTGTGTTACACCGGGCTTTGTGTTTCTTACAGAAAGAAATTCAAGCAATGAGTCAATGCAATCACCCCAACGTGGTGTCCTATTACACATCTTTTGTGGTGAAGGATGAACTTTGGCTGGTTATGAAGCTGTTAAGTGGGGGTAAGTTACTGGTTTTACTTGTTTAACTGAAAGGAAATGGCATGATTTTTTTCTAATGTACCTTCTTTCAGTTGATTGATCTAAACCAAGTGAGGAGTGGGAGGAGAGACTGCAAAGACTGAACCTTGAGACAGAGGTGTGTTATTGCAGCAATGTGCAAGTTTAGACAGTTTGCATATGTATATTGAAAGTACAGCCTACAAATTACTGAGGTAAATTCTGTTGATCTAACTACTGTAATTTTTGATTGTGAATCAATATATTAAAATTCTCAATTAAACCTGTGTAGAGAAAACTGGTGAGAATTAAGTAAATTCTGTCAGTGTGGCCTTTTTTTGAGTTTCTTTAGAGTCCACTCTGTGTTTGTAAAAATGCATATATTTCTGATTTAAGTGTTTCTCATTTCTTATTCAGGGAAGATTTTTGCCTAGAGTAGGCATTATACATATTGCATCCTTTTTATTGCTTAAACTAACCAAATACTCATTACAGTTCTTATGATGATGGTTAATGGTATATAATCTTATTTGGTTCTGGGAAAAACTGAATGTACTTGTGACTTAGAAAAGCGAGGCTCCAAAATAAGATGTGGTGGTCCTAGCTGCTGCATGATGTTCTTCAAGATTAGTCTTGATGGCAGCAGACTACTGCATCATCGTGCTAGAAAGCAAGGATGAAAAGTGGTCAAAAAAATAACACTTGCTACATCACATTTGGTTGAATTGTTTGATTCAATCAAAACCAAGCATAGAGGGAAACCAGCAGTTCAGGACAGGAATTTACTGTGAGCTGTTGAAAAATGCTTGGATCAAAGGAAAACATTGCTGTTTGATTCCTTGAAATTTATCATAGCTGAAGTTCAGTGTCAAACTGGGTGTCACTAGAGATGTCACCATTCGTTTGCAGAGAATGTCTCCTTCCCGTCTTGTGACTGCACACTTTTGTCATGAACACATGAACCGTAATCTAAGCTACATAATAAACCAGAACCTGTGCTCTACTTGTCTGTTTAAATGTGGGATACTCCTGAATTTTTAATAGATCGTAGCTTAGCAAGCTATTAGCAGAACTTTCTAATGGATCGTTGAGTGTTACAGTATTCGTGACAAAAGCCAGTGCTTTGTTTCTCGTTTGAACGAGATAGCAATGTGCTTTATTCTGAGTGCTAGTTACATCAGTTCTTTATGTGTACATGCAAAGATTTAAATTGCAGTATCATAGCAGGGATGAGGGAATATAACTGTCTCAAAAATCTGATATGATAATGCTGTGTATACTCTTTTTTTCTTTCCTGGATCTGCAATATAGGTTCAATGCTTGATATAATAAAGTATATTGTCAACAGAGGAGAGCACAAAAATGGTGTCCTTGAAGAACCAATAATAGCAACGATTCTTAAAGAAGTTTTGGAGGGCTTAGACTATCTACACAGGAATGGGCAAATTCACAGGTGGGAGCACATACACAGTGAAAAACATTTCCTAAGTAGTGCGTATTGTTCGTTGATACTGGTCGGCTGCCGTTGCCTGGCTAAGTGAATTGTATTGCCCCTTTCACATGCTGTAAATGTGATCAGTAATTATCAAATGACAGTGCTCGGGCAGATGCTGTAATCTTGACTGCAGTTTGTCACTGCTGTATAAATGTGAAATTTATTTATTCCTGGTAATTGGTAATGTCTGTTGCAACTCTACGGACCCCTCTTTGTGCCACACATGAAACTGGGATTGGTACTATGGAACTGCATCTTGGTGTCATCATCATGGCTAGGCTTCGCGAACGAAGGTAAGGGAAGGACACTACCCACGCCTGCTGCAAGCGCGCTGATGGCTAAAAAGGCCGATGTGGGATAGGCAAGTCTGGTTGCAGAGGGCACAGCGGAAAGTCTCCTCAGGCGGTATTGGCAAGACGCAGTTCTTTCTGCGTTGTCTTTTCTCCTCGAGACTGATTCTACGTGTGTTCTCAAAGGAGACAGCAGCGTCATGAATGGTGTGTCTCCATGTCTGCGATTGGAGGCCAGGGTGGACCACTGATGGTAGACAATATGGCCAAAACCGAGGTATTGTTTCGGGGAGCCCTTGTGTCTCCGCTGTGGGGCTCCTCTGTTGCGGCAGCCGGTGGCGAGTTCACCGTAGAGCACGATCTCAGGGAGGCGGTGATCCTCCATCCTGGAGATGTGCCCTGCCCAGCGCAGCTGCGTCCTCAGCAGCACGGCCTCAGTACTGGTGACCTCTGCCTGCTCAAGGACAGTGACATCGGTCACGTAGTCAGCCCAGTGGATGTTCAGGATTGTACGGAGGCAGTGCTGATGGAAGCGTTCGAGGAGGCGCCGGGTGGGCGGTAGAGGACCCATGATTCAGACCTGTATAAAAGGGTAGACAGTACAATGGCTCTGTAGACACTTATCTTTGTACTTTTCTTCAGGTGTTTATTGCACCAGACTCTTTTATGGAGTTTTCCCGAAGCTCTGTGTGCCTTTGCTAACCTGTTGTCTATCTCTTTGTCAATCTTACCATCCGAGGAAGTGATACTTCCTAGGTAGTTGAACTGCTGGACTGACTTAAGCTCTGATTTGCCTATGGCGATGTGGGGATCTAGTGATGGTTTGCGTCTATGTATTCTCGCTTCACTGACTTCCTTAGTGTAAATCGTGCAGATCCCTTGGGGTAATGTATACATATCTGCTGTATCAATCCACAGGTTGCTTCCATGTTTGGATGTTGGAAGTGCTCTACTCTGACTTCCCTAATTAATTTTACTGAGGTGAATTTTCCTTTCAAGGAAGGTGCCTACAACAGGCTCTCTGTTTGTTTCAAGCATTAGCCTTTTATAAGGAAATCTTTTAAACAAAACCAGATTCTCTGCCGATGGAACTCTGCGAATGGAGGTAGTGCAGATGTAGCACAGTAATTGTTCTTTATGTGTACTTCTTATGTCTCATCTTATAAATGAACTGCCTCTGATGTAAATCAAGAACTATTTCCTCCCTTTGCACAGAGAAAATCGAGATAAATGGAGAAATAAAGAACAATTATCTTGACTTCTGGTCTGGAATGCCAAAGATCTGCCACAAACATTAATTCATAGTCTTCTGTTAAGCTGATATTGTTGTGGAAGGACCATTCATTAGCTTTTAAGGATAACAGGACCCTTTGAGGTCGGATTTGGGCATTCCCCTTTTCTATTCTTAAAGGACCTTAAAAAGATAAAAAGAGAGATCTATATTTGTTTCATATGAGATTTATCCTTTTTATAAAATCTAATCTGTAAATTGTGCAGTACCACAGAAGCCCTGTTCCAGATGACACAGTGTGCATTCCTTTTCCCATGTATGTTGTGGGTGAGAGCTGTGGTGGTTCATGCAACACTGTGTGAGGTGGCATTTGCTGGCTGGAGATGCTTCCAAAATTGTTCAGGGATTTTGTTCTGTGGTTTTGATGCATTCTTGTTTATGTATAAAGGAACAGGTTATGTTACCTTTCAGTAGCAATGTGTTAATTATTTTCAGTAAATCTTGGAAAGTTGGACTTTTCTCAAATTCTTATTGTTTATGATATATTCTGTATGTAATATTTATCCTGTGCATTAAGAATGGCATGCACACACACAAAAACAGCCAGGTTTCTTCCTAACATTATACATGAATAGTGTGTTAAATGGATATGGTTGACTGTTAAGTATACACTGAATTTTTTAAAGATTCAGTGTCAAGTAACTTTTCATCATGGTACCCCACAGCAAAATACGGTTGCTGTTCCTGAGCTTTAATAGTTTCCTTGGGTAGAAATCTACTGTCTATTTACCTCTCTTGAAGATTAGTCTCTTCTCTGAAGGGACAAAGAGAACTTTTCTCAACTTTTCTGGTTTTTATTAGTGGTGCAGTTGGATGTGGGAAAGATTCGTTATTGCTTTAAAACCCTGAAAGCTCCCAGTTTGTGAGATTATATTTATAGAAGCTAGTAAAACAGCATTTGGACCTAAATATTTCTGTTTTCAATAATCGATCCCTGAATTCTGCTCAATTTTGCCAAGCTGAACTTGGGTCTTTTTAAACAAGAAAGTGAGAGTTTGTGACGTGGTGAGAGTTTGAGTTCTGCACTCTGTTTTACTGTAACTCCGTTACTTTTTGTACTTTAGTTTCTGTTTCTGTCATCTGAATTTTTAAGAGCTACCTTGTGAAACTAAATAGTATGTAATAATTATTATTTATTTACATAAAATGTGCACATGTGCTTTCATCATAAAAGTAACTTCTGTTTGTACATTCTAGAGATTTGAAGGCTGGCAACATTCTTCTGGGTGAAGATGGCTCTGTACAAATAGCAGGTAATGGTGGTGGTGGAATAATGGGTAAATAAAAGAAAAAGTTTGCAACTGGATTGAGGCAACAGATACAAGGTTGTCTGTTGGCTTTTAACTGGTCCTTTTGGAGTGCAGTAGCTACAGCTTACCCAGTTTCAATTTCACTTTTTGACTGCTCCTTCTACTGCACCCCAAGCTTCTGTAAAGAAAAGAGGTGTCCATAGCACACACTGCTAATAGGCATGAAGAGCAACATTTGAAGACACAGTTGTCTGTTACTGTTTCTGTGTTCTAAGGGGCTATGGCTCAGAAATGAAGCTCAGCTCAGTGTTTCTCTGACAAAATATTTTGTGTAGATGTAGAAGAGCGTAGAGTCTTCAAATAATTGGGATAGCTCTACAGAGACTGCTGATTATGGACCTCAGAGGCTCTGCATGGAGAATCTGCTCGGTCTTTGGTGGGAAAGAGGAAAATAGGCATATTTTTGTTTTGTTTAAATTGGGGAGGCTTATTTTTGAAGTACAAAATTCCTCTACACAGAGCAGGAGACTCCTGATTCATTCACAAATACAATGTTAAATAGTCACTGCAGTTCCTCAGCTCCCACATTCTACTTAAAGCTATTGGGACGGTGACATCTGGTGCTTTGGGCAAACAAGATGACTGGTACTTCTTCAGGGTTTCTGCCTTCTAAGCCTGAAATGCCTGGCACAGGCCAAATTATCAAAGAAACCAGTGAAGAAACAGATATGTAAGATGAGATAAGGAGCATATAGGAAAGAGCAGTCGTACACAGAGGTTGGTGTAAGTGTAGACGGTATGGGCTATATGATGCATTCAGTCCATATAGGAAATAAAACATGTCAGAAAAAGGATGTGTGTTTTGAGGAGTCTGGGCAGAAGATCCCGCCCTTTGGTTTTGTGCACAGATGGAGATGTGAACTTACTCATTGCACCAGTGCTTCTTGCGATGTCCACTCCTGAGGTAATCTATACCCACAGAAATGTTTGGAAATGATCTGGTTAAAAATAGGCAGAGCCCGTGCCTCAGAGACTCAAGCTGGATGGAGGAGAAAGATTTATCAGGGACAATTGTCTGGCAGCCCCAGCTTTCCTTGGACAGCCCCATTCTCACAGGATCTTGATGCTTCATTTCTCCCACTCTTAACTGTAACCCTGCACGTGGCCTTGGCAGAGCCTTAGGCTAAAGTGTACAGCCACTAGCAAGGTGAGAAAGTTAGGAGAGAAATGCTTTTTCAGCTTGTGCCTTCCCTTAGTGCTTTCCTTGCAGCCCGGCTCCCCTGGGCTTTGTCTCTCTCAGGCTTATGCCTAACGCGAACTGCGGATGTTGGCCTTGGCTGAGGCTTGGCCAAGTGCCCAGCCCTGGCCGAGGTGAAAAAGATGGTAGGGAATCAGGGCTCTTCGTTAAATTTGTTTCTCCTTTGGTATTAGCTGTGACTTTTAGTGCCTAACACTGTTGAATTGTTCAGCTCTTTCCTTGTAATACAATTCCCTTTCCTCTTTATGTAACTTGTTCTCAGTAATTCTTTGTCTCCTATGTGATAGGAAGCTTGCTACTGTAGGTCATGTCTTTTCTTAAATAACCAGTATTTGCGAAAACTGTGTCTGGGACAGGAAATTAAAGTCTTGATTTTACTGAGTAGCTATCAATCGTTCTTTCTCTCTGTAAACATACAGCAGTGCTTGACTAGTATTGTAGTGAATTGTTCACTTGACTTAATTAAATGCCACATCTTTCTCAGTGAGGTATTGCAATGTTTCATTTTGAAGCTTATGCAAGAAGAAGTTTTACTTAGTTTTTGTGTTTGTTTATCATTGTCCTTCCTCCCCTGTTTATATTTGTTTTTTTGTTGTCCTTTTCAATATTAATGTTATGTTAATAGGGAAAAACAGCAGCAGAGGGAGCAGAGGTTAAGTCAGGATTTTAGCTATGTATTTCAGTTCCTGAAGGGACCTCTAAACAATTGTCCAATACAAACTATAGATCCTTGGCACTGAAAGGAAATAGGTTTTTTCCTGTATCTCTCCTTTATTTATTCATTTATTCATTTATTTTTTATTTCCGCCTATTCAGCTTTTCCTTATATGCAATAGTTCCTATTCAGAAAACAGTCACTAATACCAGCATTGATTTTTAGGGTATTAAAATCTTAGAAGCAGGTGTTTCTGAGGCTGCTGATGCTTTTCAGAAGTAAAACCTGTCTATTCTATAGGTTACAGCTTTTCGGGGTAAAAAACCTGTTTTGTTTCATTTGTTGGGTTTTTTTGTTTTATTTTGCTTTGTTTTATTTTGGTTTTTTTTATTCATCACATAAGCTGCAGGCAAAATAAAACAATATTGCTTGAATCTTGCTTCTTACTTGTCTACTGTATTTCTGTGTGTTTTAGTGATGTAAAAGAGGTCTAGAATTTGAGTCTGTGGTGCTTAGTGGTTGTTTAGTAGAAAGTAATGATAAAATACTTCTTTGTAGTTACTGACTTTTTTTTACTTTAAAATCAATAGGAAACAAATAATAGGAACAATAGGAAAATAAAAGTTAAAATACATCTGTAGTAAACCACTTGATTTCAGTATAATTGGATCGTAAATAGCACAGTCTAAAATACTCTTTCTATAGCTCTATTCAAAATGACAGTGTTTCTCCAAACGTTGGTAATCTGCTCTTTCTTCCCTTTATTCCCTATCTGGCCCACGCAGCTGCCACTGACACAGTGGCAGGTTAACAGAACACGAAGGTGCTTTGCTATTTGGAAATCTGGAAACAACTAGTCATGTCATGGTCTCCTATTATACATATATTCTTGATTACTTTGCTGATTATATTTGATTTTTCAAATCTCCACAGGTATTTAAGTTATATATAGCGTTCCCTCTTGTTCAAATTACATTGAATTTTAGTAGCTCTACAGAAGTAGCTCCCTGTCTTTGAATACTAGCAAATGCAGTTCTTGCAAACCTCGGCTCAGAGTGCCCATTTGAAAACCTCAGGTGAAGACATACTGAAGTCCTTTGGAACCACGTTCAGGGAGACGCATACTAGAGGTTAGACTTGAGGGTGTCCTGCTGCAGATCTCCCAGATAAAACTCTTCCATCTGTTCTGTAGCGTTTCAGGGACAGTGAGTCATGAGGCAAAGGGGAGCTCTGCAATGGGGACTTTCTATGAGTAGGCCTTTATGAACTGACTTCATTTCTGAAGTATACAACTTTTGCTTTGCTGTTGGTAGTTTAACAGATTTTGACTTTTTTTCCCCCCTTTCCAGATTTTGGTGTTAGTGCATTTTTAGCAACGGGAGGTGATGTTACTCGTAACAAAGTAAGGAAAACATTTGTTGGTACTCCATGTTGGATGGCCCCTGAAGTGATGGAGCAGGTATTCCTAATGTAAAAAAAAATAATCTATTTTTAATCTTTAATTTTTGGAGCTTGAGACATCACCACCTTGTGTTTCCTTTCTGGTTCTATTCCAGGTGCGAGGTTATGACTTCAAGGCTGATATGTGGAGTTTTGGGATAACAGCCATTGAGTTAGCGACCGGAGCGGCACCTTATCACAAATACCCTCCTATGAAAGTAACAATCACTTTGTATTACTTAATGCTGTTAGCTGTATTATTAATACTGCTAGACAGTTAGAACTACTTCATTCTCATTAGCAACTCAAGATATCTATATGTATATATTCTGTGGAATACCTGTTCTCCTTTAATTTCCACATGTTTTGAATTGATTTGATTTTGCTTACAGTACCTCCTCTTTGGGTTTACTGTAGGTGTTAATGCTGACACTTCAAAATGACCCTCCCACCTTAGAGACAGGTGTAGAGGACAAGGAGATGATGAAAAAGTATGGCAAATCCTTTAGAAAACTAATTTCATTATGCCTTCAAAAAGATCCTTCCAAAAGGTAGGTCCTTATTGCCACGTACGGTGGGATTATTTTTTAAATGTACAGACTACTTAAAGTTCCAGTGTTTGAACATCATCTTTAGGTATATGTTTTGAATTTTGTAAACAGCAGCCTTCAGTCATCTTCATGTGGGGAGAAGAAATTGCCTTTTAATTGTTGCTTAAAGATTTTATACTTGAATACACTGTTGAATGAAACTCTGATCAAACATCAGTCCTTGCTCTACGTCTTAATGTCTCCTCCGAGGCAAGATACAAATGTTGATATTGTGCGTAAGTCTAACAAGACTGTTCAGACTGATCAGACAACAACACAGCAGTCCCTTGGCCTTTAAAATAAATTAAAAATAAATGAATATTTTGATGCTGATTTTTCTCATTTTGTGACACAAGCTTGGTATTGCCTTTAACTTGGATATTTCCCGATAATGTTACTTATTAAGAGTTATTTATTTTTTACTGTAAAGTTACGGGCTTCAAGTTTGTTTAGAGTTTTTCTCACATTTATGTAGGAAGTTGCATGTCACAGCATCTTTGTGACTTGTTCTTTCTTGCTATGTTTTGTGAATGGGATAGCCAAGATGATGAAAATACTAAAGATCTATTCCAAAACCACTGCTGAGGTCCCAGTTTCCCAGAACAACTCATTTATTTATCCTTTATTCATTTTTATGCAGACCCATTTTTTTAGGTTTCTTTTGCTGAAGAGTTGGAAGAGGCACATTCTAGTTAATATTATTTCATAAGGGATTTAATATATCACTTTTTTAAAGAGTTTCAGAGCTGATATTTCTGGGGATAAAAATGTTCTGAGAATGGAGTACTGCGTGGGTCCCTTATGATGTATGCTTCACTGCTGTTACGCTGGCTTAAGTCCAGGGTATTGTTATAGGGAGTCAAATTGAAAACGTGACAGCAGCAATATTAGAGAACAAGTGTAACTAAGAAAAAAGATTGTGGCAGCACTGTTATTCTTGAAATCTTAAAATGCTATTTTTTACTGAAGGACCACTTGTATACTGTTTTCAGATTCCCGAACTGCTTACAATTGGTGGTCTCTGTAGTATGTCCTGATGCTTTACGCTTGGCACTGCAGTTTCACTGCTTACAGATAAGAATGACGTGTTCTGGATAATCAAGCTGCTTCTAGTTTCCAGAGTCCAGCAGTTTTCAGGGCACGATTAAATTGGTATGAAAACATGAGAAGTAAATAATTAAAATAGTTTTCTTTCTCTCCTTGAATGCATAATGCTGAGTTACCTGATCCGTAGTTATGGCATCAGTGTTGAAACATTAGTGTTTAAACTAATCACACTGATTTATTACACTGATGTTTAAATGCGTGCAATATCTTCATACTCAGGATTGCCTTGAATGGAAAAATTAGGCCAGCAGTTAGGTGATTAGATCTGTGTGCAAGTTACACTGACTGAGGAGTGAGCGTCCTTATATTGTGGGGTCATCACTATTTCTTATGTTTCTCCTACGCCAGGATTTAATTTTGCGTGGAGATAACCTCCATAGTCATCGTGTCCATTGTGGGAGGAGCGCCTGCAAATTCTAGGACTGTCATTGCACTGGTGTTGTCTCAGACCATGCCTTTTTTCCTTGGGGATCTGTGTGTGGGTGTTTCTCACTCCCCAGTGCCAAGGATGCTGCTTACAGCCCTCAGCTGCAGTTCACCGATGCAGCCTGTGTGGGAAACAGGTCCAGAAAGCACGTCCACACCAGTTCAGAAGTGTCTGGCATAAGTAATGGTAGAGGAATGGAGACCGCTAGTTTGGATAAAACTTCACTAAAAATCTAGCTTTTAACTGTGCATAACCCTGTTATGAGATGGCAGTGGATCACTGAAACTTGTCTTAAGGTTAAGAGTTCATTTGCGATAGAACTTTAAAACTTTGACACAGAAACCGATTTTTTCCAAAGTCTTTTTGCTCATCCAAGGTTTATGTGTGAATTACTGCTAAGCCCGGTGGTCTCCACAGTACCGCTAATAAGAACTCCTTTATTGCAGAGATCGGTGCTTTGGAGGGGAAGGAAAATAAGCGCTCTGTGGAACTCCTGTCTGTGTCTAAACTGGATGTCTTTTGTTGACGTCAGGAGTTGTTTCATTATTTCTAGTGGGAGTGAACTGATACATACGTACACACTACCCGTTACTCCTCTTCTTTCACTTACTCTTCAGACGTGTCCTCAGATAAATAAACTAGTTCAGATTTTTTTTTCTGAAGGGGGGAGTTGAGACTCAAATCTTCCAAACTGAAGTTTTCCACTGTCTTACCTAGTTTGTGCTATAACCGATCTCTTGCTTTAATTCAAATGGAAAACTATAGCAGATGTTGCTTCTGTTCATTTATAAATGATGAATCTTGGGAGATTTTGGCTTCCCTAAATTTAGCTCTGTCAAAATTAGTCTCAGATAGATGGTATGGGCTCCTAGTGCAGAGAATGAAAAGAACCTGGAGGATTTTATTTTATCCCAAGGGACACTTCGGTTTCTCCCCAGAGTCTGCTCTGGTGCTTTGGCTCTGGCTGGATAAGTAGCTTTTAGATCCCTGAAGTTAGGGGAGACCAGTCCTGCTCTTGGAGTCACTTTGATAGCTGTGAGGTTGTGATTACGTGTTGACAGCATCAACAATACAAACTTTGCAACGATGGGAGGGAAGAGACTTGAACAGAACTGCAAGTACAATTGAAATGTCTGGGTTTTGACCTTAAAACTGTTGCTGTGATTTTTCTCTGTGTGGTTGGAAGACGCTCCAGATGATGCTCTTTGGTTTATGTATGGTGTTAATGGTGTCGGTACAGATTCTTGTGAATGCCTGCTGACATCAGTGTAGTAAAAGAATGTTGGTAGTAGGTATTGATGCCATTATTCTTCCATTGCTGCGGAGCAAAGTTCAGTTGCATTCATAGAGTCACTTGGGGCAGAACTTGATACCTGATTTTTTGTTTGTTTTAAGACTACAATGCATTTGTGTTGAAAGAAAAAAGGAGGAAATTGGCAACTTAGAGACTGATTTTTTTTTCCCTTTTTTTGGTATTTTTGCCGTAGGGAGGCTTAATTTTTTCATGTGTGGTAAGTGAGTATGTGTGGATTAATTCAGTAGCTATTATCATTCATTCCCCATTCATACAGTACTAATTCAAAAGTATTAGAGACGTACCATTTAACTAACGTCTTGTACTGTACTCGCTGAAAGGGGTCTTTGTTTTCTGTTCTAATTTATTATTGATCTTTCAGGCCCACAGCAGCAGAACTTTTAAAATGCAAATTTTTCCAGAAAGCCAAGGTAAAACGTTTAACCCTATGAGTAAATTTTGCTCTGCCTTAAAATCTACATGAAATTTCTTCTTTCCTTGTGTTGATTTTTAACTTACCAAATGTTGGTTTTGCAGAATAGAGAATACCTGATTGAAAAGCTTCTCACTAGAACACCTAATATAGCTCAAAGAGCAAAAAAGGTGAGTGTATTCACATCTTTTTCTTGATTGGTGTGCAGGAGAAAGGAGAGAATGTTCGTTGCCTTAGAGTTTAGTTGCCTTAAAAAGCCATTCTCTTATGCAGTCCTTCAAAGTCAGTGACCGTTGAATGAATGGTTTCTGCAGCCTGACTTTCTCCAGGAAGCCCTGGGGCATTTTGACTTCCTTTCTGGCCTTTCCAAAATGACAGATGGCATTTGCCATCATATATGATAGGGGTTTTTTCCACTTCCTTTTAGAAAGCCTAAGGTGAAATGGTTGCACAAATAAAAAGTGATTTGTGAGTGTGTAGATTCATAAACTGCAGAATTCACATCTTCATTTATCACCTAGAGAAACGGTGAAGATACCATAAATAGTATTTATCGAGGACTGCTGGGTTCTTTGGGTTATTTCAAATGCGATGCCCATAGGTATGGAACTTGGGTTCAAACTCTGCAAGAATGCTGCTGAGTTGCTCAGACCAGTGGAGCCTCATCCCACAGGTGATGGAGTTAAACACACAGCTGTGGCAGATGCTGGTATTTCTGTGTGGCCTTTGGCACTTGTGTAAAGGAGCTTACCAGATGGTGTGCAGCAGAAATAAAAAAAGTAATTCTTAACAGGTAAGTATTTTTAAATTTAAGTGTGAAGCAAGCTACTGCTCATACGAGCTAATAAACAAGAGTGACTGTAGATTTCTGCTTGCATGTGAGAAATTAAGGAACTCCCTTTCTGTGGTGACTTAACTCACCGTATCTGCTCAAAATGAGGAACCTGCTCAGAGATTGCTGAGCCTCTTCAGGTGACAGGGTAGTGTGCTGGTAGTCCAGCTTTCTAAAAGCAGGCTTTCTGAAAGCGACTGTTTCAGCCTGTGTTGGCACAGCAGGTAAGGCTTCAGTTACCTGGACTGGCACTTCACAGGTTTTCGGTTGTCTTTGTGAGTATTGGTTTGGCATAGTTCTACCACCCTGAAATGTTACTACAGCTAGTGGCTTATGCTTGGAAGAGACTGCCAGCAAGGTCTGAATGCTTTAAGTTGCCTCTAATCTTCTTTTAGGTGAAAATAATTGGGAAATCAGTGGCAACGGCGGGGTTTTGTGAGAGGCTGGAACGAGAGGGCTTGTAGAAGGGGATGGTGTGCTGCAAGGGCAGAGGGTAGGCGTAGTTCAGCTCTTTGGCCACGTGGTGGCAGCAATGCCCACATAAAAACCACCTGCCTGGTGGGGAAATCGTGGTCGCTTGGGCGTCGCGGGAGGGATTCAGACCTGTGGCAGCGCCAGCTGGGCTGGCGATGGAGCCTCTTGGCGTTCATCTCAGGCCAGCGGCGGAGACTGCGTGTTAGCTCATCCATACGTGTATGTGCAGCTATGTCTTTAAATAACTCGGCATCTGGAATTGCAAAACAAGTGCAGGGCAGCCTCCCGTGCACCACGAGAAATGGTTTTCTTGAGTTTTTGGTCGATTCTTTCTAGGAGTGATTCTGAAGAAATCAAAACTGTATAGTGCTAGAGACGAATTAATATGTCTTTTAATTACAGCATAAATAGGGGAAAAAGGGTTTAGCTAGTGAAAATGCTAAATTATTTCTATTTTAGAAGGACGCAAAATTAAAATTCATTAGGGATTTAAAATTTAATTCACTTGTTGCAACTTTAGATGTAGCTGCTGTTTTAAGATACCATAAAATAAAAATGTATTTTAATATTAAAACCGTGGGGTTTTATTTAAAAAAAAGCTTGTGGAAGTAGAGTTTGGTTGCTCAAACATTACCGTGTAAACTGTCTAAGAGGTGACTCTTGGAAGAAGTAATGCCTGTAATGGAAAAAGGCACATCACTAGGGCAGGAGATGGGGAGGAGCTGGTGCCATCACTGCTGGAATTACCTTCTGCAGTACTTGGTGTGAAATGCCTGTAAGCAATGGTCTGTAGCGCCGCTGCTAGCACACATAGCAGATCTGCTCTGATAATTTAATTTTTCTTGAGATTACCATGTGTATAATTACATTGCCTTATCGCCCAGAACTCCAGCCTTAGTTGAGTTTTAACTTTTTTTTATCTTGACGTAGTGTTCTTATGTTTTACTTCTGCCATTACAGCTTATACATGGCAACTGTTCTGACTAAATATAAGTTCAGGTATGTTTGTGAGATCCTGAAAGCAGCTGCACGTGGTCTTGTATGCGTGAGGAAAACATTCGATGCTGTAAAGATATAACCCAATTTGATATTTAAACACCACCTGCACTGTGTGTTTAAAATTCTGTTTAACATCAGAGCTGTAAACTACATCTTTGTGCACATATTCCCCCTGTCCCAGTGTTCTGTTACTTGTTTTTAATTCTGCTAATTTTGGAATGAATGTCCTTGTTCCTGGCACTATCCTAGTAATTAAGGATAACGCTGAAACACATCTGGAAGTGGTTTGCTCAGGAGGAACACGTCTTGCCTCTTCCTGTGCAGAATCTGCCTAAGTATATACCAGTACTGATCCACAGAAAAGAGTGTTGCAGCATGCGACTGCTTCCTGGCGAGTGCGGGTTTCGTCAGCGTGTCCGCTCACCTGTGAGAGCATTGCTGGTGTCAGGAAGAACTGGAGAAAAGGCTGTGGTGGACGATCTCAGCTCAGTGTGGTCTGACAGGCAGGGACATGCTCTGAGGCTGCGCTTTTGTCACTGGTAGAGATGTGTGAGCCCTGACTGCAGCCACTGCCTTTGTGGTCATGTAATGGTACAGCAGCCTGCCCTGTCCTGCTTGGGTCAGAGCTGTGCACACCCCTGTTAGAGAACAGCAGAGCAGGAGTTTAGAGACACTATTTGGTAACACATGTTGAAGTAGTTTGAATTTTGAACTGAATGCTAAGTAATTTCATTTGTGACGAGAATTGCTGTACCTGGAATAGAGGAAATTTGAAACAGTTTCCAGTTCCATAGTCAGTTTTGAAATCTTCTCACAGTACAAAATTAATTATAACTGTGAGTACTCTGTATGCCTGAAGGCCCTGGGTCAATTTTGTGGTTTTATAATCCTGTTTCTTTAATTTTGAAAATCTCCTGCATGACTGCGACTTTCACAAAGTGAACGGGGAAAAACATGCATCTGCATTTCATTTTATTGCTGTCTGAGGTGCTGCTAGTAAAAAAAATGAAAATCTGAGTAATGGTTGGGCTTGAATTCTATTTTTGGGAAGGTGGTATTGCTCTGTACTGTTAGTAGAAGCTCTTTAGAGCTCAGGGATGTAAGTTACTGGGAAAAACCTCTGGCAGCATGAAGACATGAGTAGTCTGAGTGATACCAGTTTTAATAAAAACTTAGGTGAAATACCCTTACTGATGGGCTGGAATTCCAGCTCTGCAGGACAGCTAATTTAGGGACATGATCATGTTACCCTATAGAAGAAATCAGCAGTCCCCTGTATTTAATAAGGAAAGCATCGTTAGATCCTAGATTTCTTGGACAGCTCTAAGAGCATGATTGCACCTCAGCAAGACATCCACACGCAACATTTTCTTGTTTCAGTCATGGATTTAATGTGATAGATGATGTTCTTCATCAGTGATGGGCGTTAGGACAGCTGAACTCCAGGCCTTCTGGAAAGCAGAGAGCAGTGTTAGTTTGAGCTGAGATTATTAATGAAAACGTATGTTCATCGCTATGACTCTTTACACTTTAAGAAATGCTTATTTCATTAATGCTGATGTATGAAGAGAAGGGACAGGTGTTACACTGGAACACTTTTTCTGGAAACCAGCGGCTGAACTATAAGACTCTATTTGGCAAGTCTTTGTGTCTGTGTAAGGGCGTCCTCTGTCGCAGAGGATTAATTGTTCATCTTACCCATAACACCGCCACAAGCAGAAAAAAATAGTGCAACTGTTTTTGTATTGTTGGGTATTACTAGACAAAATAGAGGAGAAATTGGCATTCAGACCATTTAGGGTTTGTTTTTTATTTTCAAGGAGTTGTTGGAAGTAGAACTTAATGGAAACATTTTTCTGTAAAAATGTAAATTTGACATAAGTTCACATAATCAAAAGCAGTGCCTGGGTTAGTGGATAGCAGAAGTGTTTTGAGGGGCAGACACATGCAGTTGCATCAGCTTTGCTTTAACATTTCAGATAAAGGAAAAAGGTTGCTGTGAGCATTTCTGCTAGGTACGCTTAAATGCGGTTGTGCTGTAAAATAAGAGAAACTTCATACAATATATGGGTTTATCCATCCCTTATTTTATAGGGTGCTTTTACCATCTGTATAGGGTTTAAGAGATTGGATTTTTTGCCCTCTCAAATGGAGCTAATCTAGTACAGAATAGATGAGCTTTAAAACAAACTGTGGAATAGTTGGCTCAGTTGAGTGTTTTTTGTACTTCAGATGGCTGTAAGCGTCTCTACAATAACTTGAGTAACTTGTTTTGGCAGGGTTTAAAAGCTCACACATCGTTAAAAATTAACCATCTCCCATCTTGGATAGTGTTTTCCAGTCACAGGCCGTCATGGTTCAACTTCAGAATTCATTTATGCCGTGAGTGAGTCACTATCTCTTGTGTAAGGGCATTGATCTGCTCACTTGCCGATGTTGTCTTCATGACCTGTTGACTTGTTCAAAGATGTCTAGAACATGGACTAACACGAGGTTGGTGTATGTTATGTATATATGTCTGATTAGACCAGTAGCTTTAAATATTTGGCATTTATCTAAGCTGTTGAAACTTTCAGTACTGGAGGAGGGTTTCATTCCTGTGAAGTGCAAGTGTAGTGTGTTCTTGAAGGTGCTGTCAAGGGAGTCCTGGTTAAGGAATCAAGACAGGATAAAGGAAGCCCAGGTGTGCACCATGCTGGCGGTAGATTCTTTGATCAGGAAGTAGGCCTTGTAACCAACCAGAAGATAATCCTGTTTTACTGTCCTGTTTTTTAATGAGTTGGTTTTCTCCCTCTTGCTGAGAATGTGCAAGAAGGTGCTGGTTTTACCTGTTTTTCTTCTGAGAAATGAAGCCTCAAACACATC